TCGGATTAAATTTCATGAAACCGAAATTGCTCCCAGAGTTAAATAGCAAGCATTAATAAGGTAAAAGTACAAGTATTTTACTGCATGAATTTGAGGTTTGTCAACAAAGAGGTTTGGCAACACTACATGAGGAAAGTCGGGTAAGCTTCGAAGTGCGCCACGTTAGGGAACACGACTATACAAAAGACCTCAGACGCTCACGCGAAGACGCTTTGGGTTTAATTGCGCACACTCAGAATAAAATGAGTTGTGTGCACAGCAAGCGCGCAATGTCCCCCATTTGGAGCTTTCAAAAAAGGTAAAAAAAAAAACATCATCCACTTTCTGTGCAAAGAGTCCACAGTGTAAATTTGTATGGAATATTTGTCATGTTTGTCTCAACATGTACCGGTACATCTACAGTTGTTTCTGACACTGCAAACTTGTACTGTTAGGAATTTTTTTTTAGGGGGGAGGGGGGTCGGAGTTTGGGACGGGAGGGCCCAGATGTTGTCTTTGATTTCAATTGGCTCAACATTGCTTTAAAACAAAAAAAAAGCAAGGTAACACCTCAGGTAACTTTTAACGACTGTTGCCAGGGTCAATTTCCTGTGAAAACAAACTTTGTGAGTTGTCTGTTGCCATGGCAACCATTTATTTTAAATTAGCATCAATAGGTTTGATCAGTAAGGGGCAATCGCTTCCAATGTGTTTTTCTTTAATTACAGTTAGAAACACAATGTACACAAAGTACATGGTTACCTTAATATTAGTAACCTCCTCCCATCTTGTGTAAGTTTACTTGTTCACCAGTGGCAAATTTTATTATTTTAAACTTTTGCTGTCTCTCTCTCGTACATTGATTAAAGGGAATATACATCATTTGCTTTTACTGTAATTTTCAGAAATGGATGGAATTGGGGGGTTGGAAATATATAGCAAATATAGTTACACTGACTTTTTTGAGGTTTTGGGTTCGAAAATGCTATAAAAACCAAGAAAAACAATCATTTTCCTGTAGTCTGGTTCCCTGACTCCATATAAGAAGAAGCAGAGCAGTTTACATACATTGGGGAATTGTAAGGTCAGGGAACCAGTCTAGCTGGCTCGTACCCGTTCATAGGTTTGTAATCGATTGCAAACAAGTGCGATGGTCAATTGGGGCCAGTATTTGAAAAAAAAGCCAGTTTTTTCCAACGCTGATCGGCCGATCAGCGTTGGAAATTGATAAAAAAATACCACTTTTCTTGAAAATGACAGTATACCAGGTGCCATGATTTTACAGGATGCTTTACACTGTCATTCACTAACAGTCCAGCAAGGTATTTCAAAATGATTTGGTAGTTTTATTTTTTGATGTTTGCAAATGTTGTATTTTCCCTTTAAAGGGAAAATACAACATTTGCAAACATCAAAAAATAAAACTACCAAATCATTTTGAAATACCTTGCTGGACTGTTAGTGAATGACAGTGTAAAGCATCCTGTAAAATCATGGCACCTGGTATACTGTCATTTTCAAGAAAAGTGGTATTTTTGTATCATTTTCCAACGCTGATCGGCCGATCAGCGTTGGAAAAAAACTGGCTTTTTTTTCAAATACTGGCCCCAATTGACCATCGCACTTGTTTGCAATCGATTACAAACCTATGAACGGGTACGAGCCAGCTAGACTGGTTCCCTGACCTTACAATTCCCCAATGTATGTAAATTGCTCTGTTTCTTCTTATATGGAGTCAGGGAACCAGACTACAGGAAAATGATTGTTTTTCTTGGTTTTTATAGCATTTTCGAACCCAAAACCTCAAAAAGTCAGTGTAACTATATATGCTATATATTTCCAACCCCCCAATTCCATCCATTTCTGAAAGTTACAGTAAAAGCAAATGATGTATATTCCCTTTAATATGCAGTTTCATTTTACGTTCTACATGTAAACACACCTACATATTGTATTCAGGGTCGCACACATATTTTCCTTGTAATGTAAGTGGATGCGGACCGCTGGGTTGGATTTCCTGGTTGGAATATGACAAACACATGAACACTCTTTGTATAGATTAACAAAACAAAACCTGTTTGACGTCATTGTACCAGCAGAAATCTGTTTTGCCTTGGATTCACACATAGTTTGTTGCCAAGCCTACACAACGGACTTTCTGTTCTGTTAAGGAACAAGTGGTGCGCTGCACTGCAAATGCAAACATGGCTGATTGGATGCTGCAGGTCTACATAGGAACTCGGAAAACAACGGGTTTTTTTCCCCCAATACTTCTCATGTCATGATTAAAATGAACCCAATAGGGCTGTGCCAAATATATACCGAATATTCGATCATAAACGGTACATGTAGGTAATATACAACATCAAAAAAACAAAACTACAAAATTATTATGAAATTTTATACATGTACCTTATTTGACAGTAAGTGAATAATACTAGTCTCAAGCATCCCGTGAAATCATGGCACCTGGTGTGCTGTCATTTTCAAGAAAAGTGGACTTTTTGTAGCAATTTCCAACAATGGTCAGCCGACCATCATTGGAAAAAAACTGACTTGTTTCCAAATACTACCCCCAATTTACAAAATTTAATTGGTCCATATTTTGTTTGCAGTCAGTTACACATCCGTGAACGGGTACAAGCCAGCTAGTATGGTTCCCTGACCTGACAATTCCCCGACGTCTATAAAATTGCTCTGTTTCGTCTGAAGTAGGGTCAGGGAACCAGACAACAAGAGCAGCATTTTTTTCTTGGTTTTTCAAGCATATATGATCACAAAACTTTAAACAGGTCGGTGTACCATATTTGCTATAAAATACTAACCCCTGAATCTATCCATTTCTGAAACATTACAGCAAAAGCAACTGTATATTATTACCTTTAATTAACCAAATATCCCAATAGCATTCCTTTCTTTATTCATCAAATTCAAGTATTTGAAAAATGTTGCGATCATGAGATGATTGTTTGTACACATTGCAGAGTTAGTTGTTCATGACACACATGTACAAATTAAACAATCCCAAAACAAGTTTGTATAACTACATGTATGTACATATGATTTTATTTTTTAAATCACCAAGAATAAGCTCAATGCCCAAAGCTGCATGCTGGCTTTTCCATTTCCTGCTACTTTTCTTTGAAAACTCTCACAAGTAATGGTTCATGTACCGGTACATCCCATGTACATCCTGTGACTAACATTACATGTATCTGAAGGTCAAAAGAAAAACTGCCCATTCACATAACACACGGCTCTTTTAAAAACAATTCACTAAAATCCAATGGAATTTTCAATTTGAGTGAGGTCTGCAACTGTTACAAAAAAAAACGTGTACAATGTAATTGTAAAGGGCCACGTACCCGATTATTGTAACTATCTGAACTTTTTGAAAAGTTTTGAAATTGATTTTTCCTTTGCTGTTCTAGGTTTATTGACGTTGAAAATGTGTGGTTTTAAAGGGAAAGTACAACATTTGCTTTTGCTGCACTTTTCAGAAATAAATCAATTTGGAGGATTAGTACGTTAAAGCAAATATTGTTAAAATGACTTGTTTCACGTTTTGGGCTAGTAGATGCTGGAAAAACCAAGAAAACCATTCATGTTCTTGTAGTCTGGTTCCCTGACCCCATTTAAAATGAAATGGAGAATTTATAGACTTTGGGGAATTGTATGGTCAGAGAATCAGTCTAGCAGGCTTGTACCCCTTCAAAGTTGTGTAATCAATTGCAAAGAAAACGCGGAATAACTAATTATGAAAAATTAGGAGCAATTTTTGAAAAAGAGCCAGTTTTCTCCAATGCTGGTCGTTACAAAAAATTTCTTGAAAATGTCGGCACACCAGGAACCAGATTTTACAGGATGCTTTAGACTGTCATTCCCTAACAATCCAGTAAGGTATTTTGTGATAATTTGATCATTTCGTTTTGTAATGTTTGCCAATGTTGTATCTTCCCTTTAAAATAAACCAACCAATCTGCCTTGTTCAATCTTTAATAATGTCGTCTAAGGCAAAACAGGAAAAGCACAAAACTAAATGTATACCAAACAGCCTTGAGGTGCATGTGTACAAACAAACAACTTGGCTCTAACCTTTTACGATCCCAGTTCAGCTAATGTGGTAAAGGTTAACTGAAAATCCAGGCCCATGCATTTCCATAGAGACGACCTTTCTTTTAAGGACACCAAGTTTGACATCATGATGAATGGGGCCCCTCCTGGTCTCAAAGTTTTCAAAGTGTGCCTGTTCAGGGTCACGTTGGCCCACTTAGGGTATACATGAAAATCATGGTGTAGGGACCAGGGTTATCACAATATGTTCATGGACAACTTGATTGGAACTGATTTTTTTTGGAGAGGAAAAGAAGTGATCAGAAAATGTGGCAATCAGTAAACAAATTTATAAGGTTTTGTGGCAGCTACGGTATGCAGACGATTCTTCGTCATGTTCGTTGAGTAAAAAAAACAACGCACATAAATGTGTAGATTTTTAATTTGAAAAAGATTCATCTTGACACAGTGAAACCCAATTCGGATGAGTTTAAAGGTGCACGTACATTTGGCCAGATTTTGCCAACAAAAATTAAATTGTTTTAAATACGTTCCAATCCTAACACACAAGCGTTTGAAGAATGTTTTGAAAAGAAATATGTGTGACTGGAATGACGATTAGCTCTCCAACAGCTCTATTTTTGATGACCCAAATTTTGTATTCTGAAATTCCGTTACGCACTTATTGCATAAAAAAAGTGAATGAATTTCCAAGATACAGTTGTGTGAATATTTGTGAAATTTTATTTTCAACGATCTTTCTAAATGGTTGTTTTCTCTCGGAAGTACTCCTTATAATATGGCACCATGGGCTAGATTGACCATGCTGACTTACAGATCGACGAAGAAATTCTTTTCCGGGCTTCTAGTCTAGGTAGATACATGTTACTTTAAATATTTAGTTCATGGAAATGTATCCAAATGACATGTATGTATCAGCTGTCTGCCATAATCCTAGACGGGCTTACCCTTTCTACCTTAGTTGGTGGTGTTTTCTCCGCGATGCACTTCTCGCACATGCAGATGCGAGAGCACTCGTCCTCCAGAGGCGAATCACTGTCCTCATCCACAATCTCCATCTCCACTGTCTCCCCGTTGTTATTCTCTTGCATCTTGATGCGCTCGTCTCCCATGGCCAGCCGATGAGTCATTAGTCAGTGTGTGAGCGTGTGTGTGTGTGTAGGGCTTGCGAACCACTGCAGACTTACACGTACAGATGAGCAGGCAGAGGATGACCACGGTTCATTAAGAAACACACCAAATTTAAAAACTACCCATTGCGGGGCAGTTCAGACATGGATGGTGCAGACTGAGAAGATTGGAGTCATCTTTCCAAGTCAGTCACTTCAATAGTTCTCTCTGCTAAGGCTGTATTGTAAATTGCTGGTGGACTGACAACATCAGAACTATTACTAGTTTGCCCTTGTTATATGGTAACTAGTTGTGACGAAATTTGTGTTGAACACCCAAGCTGTGTGTGCCGTACGCACTCAGCCTAGTCCCGGAGCAGAGTCCACGGCCCTCCGCCACCCACAATCAATAGGGTCTAATCAATGCTCAGATGTTGCTCTCCCATTTATGATGTGTACACATCCAGTCAGCTTTTTTACACACTCAATGCTGAATGATCCGGCTTATGTTGGTTGTACAGTGCCGTGTACATGTAGGCCTACCTGCGCACTGTATACACAGGTTAGCTGAGGCAGGTGGGACGGGGGTCAGTCAGCTAACAATAACAACAATGGCAACAGTTGATCCCTGTAGCTATGACGTGGTAGTGATCAATGGGGGCATACATACATGTGTGGGTTACAATTGGTATAATATTCCCAACCTGTGAATGCACACAATGCACTCTCGGCCAGCGTTGTTGATATTTTGACGTGATTGATAAAGACAAGTTCACCTCAATTCTGGGGGTTTTTCCCCTGCACTATAATGTTTTGAGTTTTTTGTTTTTCAACCCAGCTCTCTGTTCAAGCCCAGATCAACTAATGTACGTATAGGTAGTCCACTTTGGCAAAGCAACATGCTTCACATGACACTATGTACACATTTAACACAGCACTTGTTCAGCATGAGAGAAATATTGCTGTCTTGCTGAGTATTTACATCCGGATTTGTCAGAGCTCATTAATAAACATGATTCCTTTCATCCTCCGGTGAGGTTTCTGTCTCAAGGGCGAGTGGTGAATACAGATGACTGACAATAAAAGTGGATGATGGCACCTCCGAGAATTCCTCATATTCGTAATACAGTCTGCATTATAATAACTGCATTATGCAGAGGCTACGAGACCGTCTTCAAGTCAATCGCCTTGCATTGCTTGCGCACCAGTGCAGCCGTCACTCATTCGTACGCAGCCTGGCTCACAACTAAATCAGGGAGACAGAAACTGACAGACTCCCTGGCCATCACTGTAGCGCACATCCCGTGAAGAGCAAAACCTAAACACGGATCATGTATTCAAAGACCAGTACGTACATCTGGACTATAGAACCAAATCTGATTGATGTCAGCAAATCAACAAACACCACCGCACACACAATTTTACTACCGGTACTGGCTCTGGTTTGAACGTTCATATCATGATGCTGGGCTGTACCATTTTGTAGGGGACCGGGTAATAATGGCATTTTATAAACGGATCCGTTTTGCGTAGGAAGCACAATCACAATGCGGTTCTCATGGTAACGAAAACCAAATAAACACATCCTACCCACTCACACTGATTGTTTAATATTGTGATTGAAAGCAAAAAAGTGGGTCTACCCATTGCATGAATTCATTGATGTACACGTATACATACAATGCACAAGTACATGTTCATCATTAATTCCCAAGTAGTATAGAAATGTATGTTGGTTGTAAATGATTTCTTCCAATAATTACATGTATGAAACATACATGTAAATATACATCAATGTAAACTTCACAATTCTTCCATACATTACTGTGGAAAAGAAACAGTTCTTGTAACTATTGCATACATGTGTATATATACATGTAGTACATCTACATACACGAGCACATGCAAAATTATTATTTTTGTACATTGTATTCTTACCAGAGGGTTAATAATGTGTTTAGTGCTCGTATCCACCAGTATTGGTGCTCAGGGAACTACATCAATATTACCCTGCTCATTGGGCCAATGAAACATTCCAAGTACCCTGCTCAGCTCCCTGGGCAGGACAGCTCGATGCTGCCATTTAATTCAGCACAAAGCAGCTAAAATCAGTAACAGTATTAAACCATGCATCTCTGCCCTCACAGGTACCCATTTACTCCTGGGTGGAGATAAGCAATGAGTGACAAAGTGCCTTGCCCAAGGGCACAAGTACCATGACCCCAGGCTGGGCTCGAACCCACAACCTGCAGAATTACCCGCAGACCACGAATTCAATGCTCCAGACCCAAGGCCACGGCAACTTTACAGGGTTAACCGTGTTTCCCCCAATGGGGGAGGTGGTTAGGGAAGGCAACACCCTCCCCAAACTCAAGGTCTCCACCCCTTGTCCCCGCCCCCTCCCGCCCCACCCCCCACCCCCCATTTAGAATTTAGAATAGGCTAAAAAAAAATGTATTGTTTGAAACTACGACCAAACCCATTGTGTGCCCCCTCCAGAAAAGGAGGCATCCTACAAATATGTAGGTGCCCCCTTTTAAATTGGCATAGCGGAGGGGATGGAGGGGCAAATTCAATCTGACAGGATGGATGTTGAAGAAATTTTGGGGGAATCAAATTTACACGCATTCACATGAACTGGTATGTGCTCTATCGGATGAAGAAACATTGGACTAAATGTGAAAAAGGGGAAATATGAACACTTTACCCAACTTCCTTGATACGCAAGCATCATAATTGCCAGTTCAATTTCATGATGTCAACAACCGTTGTTTCATTGTCCTAACAAATTGGCTTCACTCTCAAATTTGCATGAAGTATTAATTGGGCTCAACAAGTTACTGGTACCCTACAAAATGGAACCACACCCCTACCCTGGATTTTTCAAACCACTCTCTTCCGTGTGTTTGTGTACAGACCAACTTTTTACATGAACTTTCCTGTCATCCTGCATTTGTCACATTTATTGGCCCACTTTATGGCCCACTTTATGGCCCATCAGGCCACTGACGTCATCACTTATGCACTGAGCCACCCACCTAAAATTGCTATAAACAAGCTGTTAAGTACTACAAGACCAATCTATACAACCAGGCACCCAAAAATGCGGACCCATAAAGTTGAACAAAAAAGAAAAAATGCAGTGTATGTGTACACGTACGAACTTCAAGATCACAATACATGTTTTGCTGCCGGTTGCTGAATGACGTCAATGAGTGTGTGTTGGCATGCACAGGCATGACCCCAATGAACGTATTGACAGTCACATTATGGGGCCATACACGTACAATGTACATGTATGCAATGATGCAAGTACTCATACATGTGCAGCAAATGTAATTCCTGTACCTTCTTCCACAGCATAAGTCACATAAAAACTTGGTATCCCAAAAATGAGTATTGTACTCATTCTTTCCATGGCTGTAATATTCTTATTAGTGTTAAAGGTAGAGTCCATCATTTGCAGCCATCCGAAAAGTAACTGGCGTAATTATTGTTGAAAAACTAACTTGGTTGAAAGATAGTAAGGAGACTAAACTCCCTGTGAAATTATTCTTTCTGGGAAGCTGTCATTTTGAAGTAATCAACGAAAGAAGGCATTTCCAACGGTGATTCTTAAGAAGCACCGTTGGAAAATTTAAATTAGTAGTTCGTTTTGTTATTCAGCGAAGCGCGCACAAGTATTCGAACGACGCACACGCGCGCGCGGTTGTTATAATTCGTCGGATCAGTGCGCGACGTCGCGTATAGTTGCAATTCAAAACAATTCAAAACATGATTCAGCAAATTTTGATTTGAAATTGAGATCTTAGAATGCTGTTTTTCTCGGAATGTACAGCTGAAGCTTAGCTGAAACTTCATCAGGTTAGTTGCTCAGTATCCTTCATTAGATTTTGAACTCTTTTGTTGCTTCAAACGAACAAAATGCACAAATTACAAATGATGGACTCTACCTTTAAAAGGTAAAGGTAAAGATCCCATAGCCATTACTGGCCGTAGGGGCAGTGGGATGTTAGAGGTCCACTGTGTCTTGGGCGCGGCATATGAGTGGCGGGGCCCAGTCCACTCCTCTCGCCGTCTTACCTTCCCTGAACGAATCAGGTACCCATTTTACTGTTGGGTCGTCAGAGAGAGTTTTCCAGTTTTTGGTCCGAATGGGATTCGAACCGCCAACCTTCCACTCCGTAGCTCCACGCTCTAACCGCTCGACATGTTAGACACGTGTACAAAAATGTATGTTAGAGACATGCATACAAAAAAATATACACGTAAATAAAACAAAAATTTCTCAACTTTTGCCAGTTGTGACTGTGGTACGGTAGGGTACTAGTATGGTACCATTCATGGTTGAAATTTGTGTTTCAAACATACAACTTCCGATAGAGATCCTAATTGCTAGTTTTACAAAACAAATTGCCCTCTGGCATGTCTGATGGCACAAGTGGGTAGGCATACACCGCGTTATGGGGAAGTTTTTTATTGTTAGGCAAATTAGGACCGAGTTATGGGGACTTTCTGCTGTCCCCATAGCATTTTCGGTCCCCACAAATACCTTGCACAGACGAGTGTAAGTCCCCACAATTACGGAAGAATACACAAGAAAAACCTCTTTAAAATTTCACAAATTGATAAAGTTTTTCAACATTATTAGTTGCAATTAGTTTGAGCTTTCAATTTCAATGTGAATTTTAGGTACATGTATTTTATGACACAAGGACAAACAGAAACAGCCAAAAAAATTAAGCCATCAACCATTTGATGTACATAATTTAAAAATGACAAACACTTATACAGTTTCACGCTGGCCAGGGAGAAAGCCCTCGAATCAAAGTTTATTACATTAACAGCCCTACATCAGGGGTGGATATAGGGGAATGTTCAAAGGGGGGGGGGGGGTCAATCATGATACGCTTTTTGTAATTTTAAGTAAAATTTTTGGAAAAGTGTGACTGTCGGCTTTCTGCATACACAGAAATAAATTCTTGATAGTTTTAATTTTAAGATCACATAGTCTTATTCCGTAGTTGTGGGGACATTCACTCATCTGTACGAGCATGGTACAAAGTATTTGTGGGGACCGGAGACGCTGTGGGGACAGCAGAAAGTCCCCATTATTTTACACCAATTGCAGGTACTGGTACAGCAGTGGTGTAGCCAGGATGTTTTCAGTTGGGGGAGGGGGGGGGGGAGCTGGGGAGGGGGGGGGAGCTGGGGGGGGGGGGGGGGGGCTGACCTCATGTGACACTATATGTCATTTATTTTCCTTCCCAAGTTAATCACATTTCATAAAGTCCTAGGGATATGGGGATCAGAATCGAGTAAAAAAGGTGCTATCTATTGGTACCGTACATCTCTCTTCTGTTTATTTACTCAATTAATTTTTTTTACTTAGAATTGTGAGGGACACGTGCAAGCCAGCCCCCCTCCCCCCCCCCCCCCCCCCCCCCCCCCTCCTTGCAAGAAAACCTGGATGCTTTTAATTTTCTTGATTAAAGGGAATATACGACATTTGCAAACATCGAAAAATAAAACTACCAAGTTTTTACGAAATACCTTACTAGGATGTTGGTAAGTGACAGTCACAAGCATTCTGTAACATTACGGCACCTGGTGTGAAGTCATTTTCAAGAAAATGGTATTTTTGTATACATTTCCAACGGTGGTCAGCCGACCACCGTTGGAAAAACCTAACTATTGTTCAACTACTGCTCCATATTTACCATTTGTTTCAGTTCAAATTGTGTTTGCTATTGGTTACATGTTCATGAATGGGTGCAGGCCAGCTAGACTGGTTCCCGTACCTTACAATTTTCCGGCATCTATAAATTGATCCATTTCATCTTTAGTGGAGTCAGGGAACCAGACTACTTGAACATTTTTGTTTTTCTTGGTGTTTTCGAGCATTTTCGGACACAAAACTTC